ATTCTAATTTAACTTTTAGGTTAGTTATTACCACTATTTTGCTTTATTGCTATAAAGCTTTACTTTTAAAGTTAAGATACATAAGTTCTATTTTTACTCAAATAATATTAAGAAGCGGAGAAGAGTAAGAAGTAGATTAAGTTGGAATCTTGATTTTTTTTTTAGGTAAGACCAAATTACTAGCTATTAATAAAGGGAGACCATGACTAATGATAATCTCTTTTAATGTTTACCTTTGATTGAGACCATTTTCCTGTAAGTTCCAGAAAAAATAAGTATCACGATAAGAGAAGTTATATGTTTTTATGGTAATTATTTTGTTCGAGCGTAATAGACCATCATAGTTACAAAAGTCTTATAAAAGACTTGTTGAAAATGTCTTAGATTGTTATTTTTCTTCATAAAGAATCCATGGTATGATATTCAAATCATTTTATATTTTAAGTATGATAAAATCAAATTAAATATTTTTATATATGACAAGATCAATATTTAAAAACTTGTTAATCTAACTAGTTAAAATGATACTATTAGGTTTATTCAGTAAACTAAAAGAAAAATTAGAAGATTATTATATGTCAATAAATGGTAGGAAAAGTTCTAATTTATATTCTTTTAAAATAAAAAGTATTCCTCAAAATCGTGTTTATTATTTACTTTTTTCTTACTAACTTATGGTTAAATTCAAACTATATTTGTTAAAGAATTCGCTACACAAACAAAATGTTATATGATTTGTTAAATCACTTTTGTTAAGATTGTGGATTTTTTCACCAACGGAAGAATTTCAATAAAGTAGTAAGAGACCTCTAACTCTTATTTATCTAGTTTTTCATGCAATAATACCGAAAGATCACCATAGTGTTTTTAAGCAATGACTAATATTTATTCTAAAGACGATAAAATAAAAATAATAATATAGAATGTGGTAATTTTTTTTTAAAAAAATTTATCAAACTCAAAGAACAACAGAAGTTAATAGTACTCTTCTACCACATAATTGAATCATCTACTTGTTAATTTTAAGTTTAATCATTATTATCATAAGTTTTTAGCCATCAAAGAAATTATAAAATCATGAACTACAAGGTTTGTTTACTCCTTACTAGTTAAGTTAAAATGGGTAATTGAATTGGGCTTTGGCTTTGACAATTTACTGGGCATTGAAATGTGATATAAATGTCCACAGTATATTAATACCCTCATATAAGTTAATTTAATTAGTCCAATCCAATCAAGGATCAGGCTTGATTTAAGTCTGCTACAGGCTAAGTAAGTCCAATAGCTATGCTGTATGGTCTAAGCCCATTTTGCATTTATGGAGTCTTTGGGTAAAGACAGTCTTTAATTAAATATCAAGAGGTTGACAATTCATGGGTATTGAATCCATATATATATATATATATGTATATATATGCACAATTCTTAGTTTGAAATTTCAAAAATGAATGTTGGGGACCCAAGAACCATTATTATGATTTGATGAGCAGCAGCCACCATAATTTCATATGAAATAATTATTTAGCTTATATGTTTGTAAACACACATATATATACATATATTAAATATATACACGTGTTGCACCATAATCTATTATCCCATTTCAAAGTCATGAAAGGAAAGGCCAAGCATCACCCAATGAATTAAATCTAGAACTCCTGGAAATTTCAGCCAACCATCCACCTAAAATGAACATGCCAACTACAATTAAACAATATTTCAACATATATATATATATATATAACATACACATATACATGCCTTTCTTAAACAATTTGGATCAATATTATAAACAAATAATTAAATTCTTTTGTATTATCTTAAAATTTTGAATAAGGAATTCATTTGGTGTTAAAATCAGATCTCTAAATTTCTGAAAGCATATTAATGAATAAAGGAAATCAGGATGTATATATATATATAATATTGAGACAGGCAGACAATAAGTACAGATCGCTTCTGGATCCTGGCATTCCACTGTAGGCACAATCTAAGCACACTGGCATATCCATATAAAGACACAAATATATATAATATATATCTATATGTATGTATGTATATGAGGGGAGCTAAGGACATGATCTCTCTCTTATGTTCCTCGATGATATATGTGTGCGTAAATCAATATATGATAGTTTATATAAACCGCACATGGACAGCGCATGACCTCTACCTTAATGATACAGAAAGCAAACAAAGAAACCAAGCAAGCTCAGCATCCTGGGCCACTTTTGTATACTAATGCATTATCATAATTATTATAACTACTTATACATGCTCCATTGTCTATATCACCAGCACGACGGCTGCTCACCAGTATATATACACATACACACACATATGTATAGCTGAATTCATGTTATAATGACCCTTTACTCGTTATATTTTTGAATCTAGTCTTTTGAAACAGATCTCCCTTTGCCTTCTTCTAATTTGCTTTTTGATCTTAATTGGGCTATACATTAAAAAGAATTAATGATATAGAAAGAAGTGTTATATAACATAATGTGTGTGTATATATATATATATATATATATTCATAGAT